GTGGGGGCCAGAACCCGAAATGCTATCAGATCCTCAGAGCCATGCTTCAACAGGCGACGTGAAGGAACCAGGCTGGGTATATTGAAGGCCGGCAAGATACGAAACGCCACATGCTCCACCCTCGCGCCTTCCGCGATCTGCCCTTTGCCTTCGTGGAGGGGGTGTTCTTGTAGTCGCACTGGCGACAGTGGGGTGGGACACCTTGGCTTAACACGACAGGCGTCGGCACGAAAACAGCAGTCGACGGCACGCTTGCATTCTGATTTAACAAGATAATCTGCTTGGGACATGAAACAGGACTGACCGCGGAAACATGCCCCGTGCTAGTACCTGTTGGCAAATGTTGGAAATTTCACGAGTGCCGGCATCCGATGAAGGGGTCGCTTGGCTGATTCTAGACAGTGGTAACTCTGGACGGTGTCTGCCAGACCGATCTGTTTGCGGGCTGTGCTGTTTGGCAGGCGATGATGTTGACAAAAGGCAGAGCTGTTTTTTTACTGCAGTCTTTCTACTTTTTCTCCTATGCATTTCACAAACCATTCATGAGGTTTATTCTTAGAGATCCAACCCTGCGGCGTTGGAGTTGAGTCGACGCATCTAATGCCTTTTTCGACATACAGTGAGTGACCCATCTCATGAAATGCTGGCTGAAATTCTGAAATGCGTTTTCGATTAAGAAGGATTACTTGGTCGCGGTTGTAATACCGACTACCTTACGACATACTCTTATAACATTTCGGACTTGGCAGGATGTCGGCTTTTAAATGCATTTCTTTTCTATCTCCTGTAGAAAGCGTACTTGGTAAAAAATGATTACTTAAGTAGCATGCATTTTTCCTATTGATTTTCGATGGCCTTGCAAATTCTGATATATTTATAGAAACCATAAATAAGCAGACGCTTTCTTTTAGTCAATCAATAGTGAATTACGTCTTATTTGTATTTTATACTTAAGGAAGGAGTATAACTAGGTTTTAAAAAAGTTTCTAATTATGAGACTTTTTAAGACCGCGAAATGTCAAGTCACATAGCATCGTACCTGGCCGTTTGCCACTGCTTCTCATGAAATGAACAACATGATCCACATCCATTGTAAAATTTTATGGAGTCTGTATGATATCTCTTTAACGACATAAAAAATATGTGATTTTCTTTACGCGGAACGCATGCACCTTGTTGAGTGAAATCACTTAGCGCTAATGCAACGAATGATCAGGCTCCAAATTTTTCGGCAATTAGAAAACTTTGTAAAAACCTAATTATACTTCTTCCTTAAGTATAAAATATAAAGAAGACGTGATTCACTATTGATTGACTAAAACAAAGCGTCTGCTTATTTATGGTTTCTATAAATATATTAGAATTTGCAAGGCCATCGAAAATCAATAGGAAAAATGCATGTTACTTAAGTAATCATTTTTTACCAAGTTCGCTTTCTACAGGAGATAGAAAAGAAATGCATTTAAAAGCCGACATCCTGCCAAGTCCGAAATGTTATAAGAGTATGCCGTAAGGTAGTCGGTATTACAACCGCGACCAAGTAATCCTTCCTAATCGAAAACGCATTTCAGAATTTCAGCCAACATTTCATGAGTTAGGTAACTCACTGTACTATACTGAAATCCAACGAGGGGAGGGGTTAGTTTTGTTGCGACGAAGGTCGGTTAAATCAAATGCGCATGTGACCAGGGGAAAGTTTCTGCATGTTAACCATAAACATCTACAGCTGTGCAGCTAAGGAAACCTTGGTCTCGGAGCAAATCATTTCAAGGGAGAAAAGATGGTTCATGAGACAAATTCCAAAGGAGGTCTTAACACAGTTTTCGGAAAATGCCTTCTCCCGCAGCTTTGGCAAAGTGTTTAGGGAACGCATATGCGAGAGTATGTAAGTCTACAAGAAGTAAGATTCGCCTGTGACACTGTCAGGCTCTGAAACTAGTCGTAGGCCCATTTACATCTTGCAAGTGCTGTTTTTTTTCGTTTGTTACAAAACGACAAATATTCACTTGGGAGAAAACGTCCATGACCTCTGAGCAACGTCCATCACTAGAGAGTGCATCAAACACGCCAATAAGGATGTTATGCATACGCTATGTTATGATATCTCGCAACGCATATACATAGGCGGCTGTCCTCGCCGTTAAACGGAATTTGATTATGCATTATTCATTGACACCACTATAAGTACCTAACCTTTAATGTTGCAATTTGCCACTTGGGAGCCGAATTTGGAAACTCGAGCATAACCGGAATTTTCGACGTGGGCCGATGAGGACGATTTATCAAACTGGAAGCGACGCTAGACGTTAAATCTCTTCTGTCAACAGCAAAGGTTTTCAGAGAATTCAGGTGGCTGCCAGTTCTACGGCAGGAGATGTAATTCATAGGCTGTTGTCCTGAGCACCCCTTTAGCTTGCGGCAACACTGGAGCGTTTAGAAGAACTCGCGCGAAGAAGAGGATGCAATCACGGGTCTTCTAATGGCAAAAGATCGAAATATGTTTTTGTGGAAAGTTCGCCTTTTCGCATGCTCTTAGTACCAGATACCCATTTTTTTCGGGGGCAATAATAAATCACAGTTTGATGGTGTTTGACGGAGCACGACCTCTGAAGATTTAAGATATTCACAACAGTTCATTTGGTAGTTGCAGGCTCTAGCTGACGACCTCGAATGATTCTGCTTTACGTCGTCTTCAGTCGGTTTTATACTGAAGTGCGATCCCAAAGTATGCTAAACCGATCCAAAGTCGCCTTCCCGAAGCTGAGGAGTTTGAACTTGACGCGCTTTTCAAAGCACAAGACGTTTTAATAAATGCTACTTTACATCAGAATGCACGCTGTACGTTGAGTTTGAACGTCATGGGGACAAACATCGGTCAAGCTCATTATTTAGACAATTTAACACGTAGGTTTTCTTTATATATAGGTAGTGCATGATTACACTTTTTAAAATCCTTATTCACAGACTACCTTATGCATTTTGAATGAGAAAGGTTGTGTGTGTGTGTGTGTTGTGCCACCCCCCAAAACGGACCACGTGGTAGATTTGCTGAACCAATACAGGAGCCATATGAGGTATCGCTTTCCGACACCATAACAAATACCACAATTTCGGGGTGCGGTGGCATACCCAGTTGCCGGCTGGAGTCACTCACACCGGGACCCCTGTCACACCCCGTTTTCGGTTGTTGCTTAAAATTCTGGTTATATTTTGTCAACCAAAAATTCTGGTCGGTTGTAGTTCTCTGTAGCACATGATCCCTCGTCCTTGATGTGGGTGCGCGTATTTTAAATTTCCCACTTTATGGTTGGAAATGGAATGCAAGGTAGTTGTGAGGAAGAGAATACACTCGACGCGAGTCTTCAGACGAAGGCGTCCTTTGCAAAAGCTGACAGTTAATTCGCAAAGTAATTGGTCTGTCCTCAGAGATTCAGACTGACAATTCACTACTTGGTCAAATTCACACTAAGGAATTTAAGAGACCCAACGCCGTTGGGGTTAAAAAACGCATCTGTCTCCGGACAGGGTGGCGTCCAAGCAGCGAGTACACCTAGAGCAGCACAAAAATCACGACTCAGTCCAACTTCAGAGAAGAGGAAAGACACTAGCAGGTATTTCCGGGCAGAATCCGGAAGGAGTCTGTCCGATCGCTCGAACCATGACTTTATCCTCCTGAGAACCGGCTTGAATCCATACGCAGTTTCGAGTGGGAGGGAAGTAGGAGTCACCAGGGTCCACATTAAGCCCTCATGTGAAGAAGTAGACGTGATCGATAAAACAAAAGCTTTATTCGCCTGACGTTTGAGATTCCCCCTCGAAACCGTTATCAGAGACAACAGTATTTTTATAGGATGCGGCCACTCTGCTAGCGCATCTCTGTGAAAATTGACGGCTCATCTTGTCAGCGAGGATGGTCGATGTCCGTGCGATAAGTGCTTGGTGATCGGCAGTCGAGTTGCCGCAATTTTATTACCCCTGATGGATATTGGTGTGATAATGACTCGACCCTCTTGCTCTTAGTAGGCTTGCTGCACTGTCGACCAAGACAGTGTTCATTCCCAAACCATCCTGGGAGTAATTGTTCTGCCCAGGTGGAGGCTCAGCGCTGCACAGAGGCAAGGAAGATCACTGGTCTTCCGCGGGCCGACAAATAATGACTTCGACGGTTTGTAACTCACAACGTTGTAGGGTTGGGGTTCGACTTCAGGGTTAGGGTTACCGGTTAACGATTAATGGTTAACGGTTATGGTTAGGGTTAAGGTTATAGTTAGGGTTAAAGTTCAGGTTAGGGTTAAGCTTAAGGTTAGGGTTGGTCTATAACTATTTGCCTCTTTCATTTTCCACAGGCTGTGCTGTTTTCCGCGAACTATCGGTACAAACTATCGGCGAGCGTCACTCTACCATGCTATCTTCATACTTTTATGCAGGAATCCATAATTATCTCCACATGGGGAGTATGCAGCTCGCAGACCGTAAACCATAAAGGAAAAAGCAACGGTAAATCCGGCCCAAAATTATTTTCGAACTGAGAGACTGTAATATCCACACGCTCCTGGACTGCGAGTCTGAAATCCGGAGAGGACGTTATCTGCTACCAAATCGATACCAAAAGTTTATGCTGAGCATGCTTTCGGTAAAACATATTGGAATGTATAAGTGCATCGAAAATCACTGGAACCGGTCCATACTACTTAAGTAATCATTTTACGCCGAATTAGGTTTAAACGGACGGCCTATACGAAGTGCATTTAAAAGTCGGCATCCCTGTTTGCTTGACATATCCTGAATTTACGCTACACGACAGTTCGACCATCGATTTCGATGATGTCCACCGTTTGCCCCACAGACTGCATTGTGGGAGCAGAGACGGTGACTTACGCAGGGGTTTATAGTGCCAGTAGACTTGCGTGGCATCTACCTACACTCTCTCCTCCTCCCCCGCCTGGGCCCGGTGTCAAGACAGAGTCAAGAAGACCGGCGACGAGGGAGGCCGCAGGTGGATGGCTCGGACGAATCCTCACCTTGGCGTTCCACCACATCCCCTGGTTCACACAACAAATGACCAGGATTTCAACCAACACAACAGAGATTTGGAGGCTGGCACGTCCGAAGCCGCACCTAGGCGTGCCGCCAACGCCTGGCTCGGATCCCACACTGTGGTAGGAGTGCCATAAAGGCCACATTAAAAAGGAGCCATTGCAGCCTGACTCTCAGACCGCCTCCGGTCAAGGAGGAGGTCCAAGGTACCCCGTCAGTTGGCAACCTTCCAAGCCACGGCTTTTAGCGCACCGTGATAGCTTCAAGCGCGTCAGATTGTTTATAGTGAGGAAAATGCGCTGAGTCGTCGACCTCACTCTCCCTTCCCATCCCCACACCCCAGCCGCTGTCCGAGCCGGTCACGTGAACCCACCGCTGACACCCCTACACCCTGAATTTACGCTACACAATATTAATATTACAACCCCACGCACGATCTCATGAAGTGTTGTAAGTAATAAACAGAGCAGAATAGCCGCAGGGATGCAGCGTGACGATAACTTAATACTGAAAGTTGTGTCAAAGTTTTTTTTACAGATCGTATTATTGGCGCACCAAAACAAAACGCTTATTGCGTGTCACTACAATTAATCATGGGAGTTTTTTAAGGTCAGGAAACGTGTGTTCAAATAGCATCGAATCCGTTTGTTTTACAATGCTTCTCATGAACTATACAACAAAATCCATATCCGGTGTAAGATTTTATGAGCCCTATGTGGTTTTTACTTAATGCCATATAGGAATGCATGTTTTTCTTGCACAGTATTCATACAAATAGTAGACTTAAAACACCAAACGCAAATGCAAAAGCTGTTCGAGCTTAGAGTTCTTCGGAGTGAAAAAATTTTTAACACCAAACTAGCCTTCTTCTATGCATAAAATTAGAAATAGACGTAATTTTCTGCCAAATGAGTACAAGAAGGTATATTTCGGTGAATGTTTTCTGCCAAATGTATTTACATTTATAGGTGCATAAAAAATCAGTAAAATGTACACTACATAAATAGCGATTAATGCTGGCGGCCGAAAAGAAATCTATTTGAAGGTCAACAACTTGGTGTGTCTGAAATATTACGGTATTATGCCGCAGACTTATCAGTGTTAAACCCTACTTGAGTAATCTTCTGCAGTCAAAAGCGCATTTTAGAATTCTTATTGCCTCTTCAGGATATTGGCCACTGACCATATTAAAGCATAATTGGTGTCCCAGCACAAACAGGAATCGGCAACTTACTCTTTAAAATGTGAAGACACATTTCCTCGCAGAAAAGCTTTCGAAAAAAGTGTATGCAATTAATATTTTGCATATATTCTATGGGATGTCAGATAGTTTTGCCAGAAGCACAGATGGTTGAGAGAAGAAAAGGAGTTGGCGAAAATTTCCCGAAATCTAATCAGCATCCATTCAGGCCTTCCTTTCTACCTTCTACCATCCTTGGGTTGAACTCGTTTATAAGCTCCTCCTCCGTACAACATTGACCTTGAGCCTAATTACGGAGGCGCCTATGCCCCTACTCTGTTTTTCCTCCTAAACCTGTTTTCTCCTAAACCTGTTTTCCTCCTAAACCTGTTTTCTCCTAAACCTGTTTTTCCACCTAAACATTGACGCCAACCCTCTTCCTATTCTCCCACCTCCCTGAAATTTAGCGTAACTCCACCTGTAATACGAGAGTGCTTAAGCCCTCGTCTGTTCCCATCCTGTTTCAAATACATGGTCTGAGAAACCCACGATATTCTTTAGACAAGAGACATCCTTTTCTTTTGAATGCGAAGAAGGGTTTTCAGAGAGACTAACTGCCGTATATTTGGCAAACTATATTCTTCGAAATGAAATTTATTCTGCCTTAGCGCTTAAAAGATCATTTTCCTCATTTAGTCAGTTGGAATACTGTTTGCACCCTTCTGTTATTTTGATGCCAGGGGAACAGAAACGAGCTCCCAATTCGCGGCCGACTGTTGCAACTGGCTGATCTCCTCTCCTGGGATGCAAAATGCAATCGTCTGCTGCACGATCTCGTTGTCAGCTGCTACGGCGCTCCCGGTAAGCATGACTTTGGCTCGTCGTAGAAGCTGGAGACACCTCCGCTTTTCACTGAGCCAGAAAATGTCCGACCATTAAAAACTTCACTCGTCTACACAAGGGCTATAAAAATTTAAATAATTTTTTCCCAGTATTTTCAGCAGAATGCGTATTGACAGTCCGGGGACGTCGGTTCAGATTCGGTGGTTCGTTAGGGGGAGAAAAGTAGGAAACTGTGTAATTAAACTTTGCGAAAGGTCAATCTTGAATGTTGCGAATTCTTTCTACCAATGGGTTGCAATGTGAGGAATGCAGTTCATTGCAAAAAATAACTTTCACCGCATTCATTACCGTGGGCAAGTGACTGCAGCCTTGTACCTTTGTATTCACTCCTGCACTTTAGGGTGAAAGCGGGATCATTAAAGCGTTCAGTAAATCAAGACTGGCAATTTAGCTCTTCCAGCAAAGTCTTGTAATTTATGCTACTCCAGAGAACTTGATTTATTCGCTCGATGTGAACTTTCCGTTGATTTTTCAAACTTTAGTTATAGCCGATCATGATATCTACTAGTCTAGTCTACATTTTAATGTCCTGAAAGAATTGGCGAGCGTATGGTGTATATATTATATTCCATAATGCCGACCATGAGACCAAATAGCTTGGTGTACATGCTTACGCATTGATAGAATTTGAGAGCATTACATTACCGACAAACACAGGGGAGACTGGAATCACCATTTTGACTTATTAATCGTCGTCGGTCAGTCATACCCAATCCCAAGGTGTGGGTCATCTGAAGCTCGATCCCACAACCTGTTGGTTAGAAGTCCAACGCCCCTAACCACTGAGCCAAGGGCTCGTTGTCCTGTCGGTTGCGATCGGGAATATACAATGACAGAGGGGTTCTCGCCGGTCGCGCTACGGAACTCACTCGTACCGTTGGACCTTGGGGCTTTCTCTCTAGCCCCACCAGCAGCCTTGCTTATATTACGCATGGGCGGACGCTGTTCCAGCATACTTGGTATTTTCGATCGCCATCGACAAGAAAATGGGCTTGTTAAAACTTTGAACTTACTAGTGTTCAGAAATTAAAAGAACTCTGGTCCGAACCTCAGGTGCTCCGAATCTTGGGGTTGGGTTAGGCTGGAGGCGACGACAACGACGACGACTAATAAGTCAGAAGTGGTCACTCCAATTTTCTCTGCCTCCTTGGCTAATCTCATTCTGCCTATGTTACTAGCCACTGTGCAACTCTCGGTAAGGCTTATGATCGAGTCTCAAATCGCAACGGGACGAGATGATCCCATAGTGCAGTCGATTAACACTCTCTGTCACATACATACTTTTTAATTGAAAAATGGGCGTCTCAAGAAAGAAAATTCAAAGAAAATAATTCTTTGTGAAAAGTAACAAACTTTATTTCGTAACTGTTCGACTCTGGTTCTCCAGGTCGTCCTCAGACGTGAAGCGAGTGTGCGAAACAGCTAAAGTTAAGACTGGACTAAAAACCGATTCTGCTCTATCATTCTTGCCTTTATTGAGAGTTGGCATCACGTTCTGATTGGCTACCACCTTTTCTGTGTTTCATTGAGATTGTTGTATGCGACGTCTAGTTCGACGTGCGGATTGGCCCATGAGTTGTCAGAATATACGGCCTCTAAATATCTTCGGTTTTCCGTAGATGAACAGACACCCGTAATGCGAGGCCTGGTCGAGGCAAATTCGTGTCCAGTTTCCAGCGCATACATGAAAAATTAGAACAAGTGGTCTCACCTTTTTACTGCCAAGTAATATCCTTGTGTGCGTATGAAGGCAGATGTTCCAGTTTGACCACAGTAAACCACATACATGTGTCGCATAGTATCTCGTAGGTGAGTTCTTTTTTGTCTAAGTGGCCAGCCTTCTTTTCAGGGTGTACAAACTTGTTGCAAAATATAACTTTTGGTTTGTTTGCCACGTGTATTTATTTTTTCCTCAGGCGTCATTTAACAAGTCCGGTCTCATTTCTAATTTGTGGGGGTGTTTACTAGTTTTTTGGTTTCGGCGCCTGATCGGAGCAGTATAGGTCCTTTTCATTTTATTTTAAATCCTGTTGTCTCATACATCCATGTACAAAATCTCCAAGATACCTGTTCTGCGAAAGCATGTTACAGGGAAGTTTTTTGCTTTTCCTAAAGAACCTACTTCCCCCGATATATGTATTCATATAAGTTTGTTAATTTCCCGAGAAATTAATGCGTGCTGCTCAAGTAATCTTTTACTGAAACTCTCTCAGATTCGGTTCAAAATTTTAAAGTATTCTTTTGGCCGAAACCGACCAGTCCCAGAGGAATAGTCGCGTAGCATCCACAATTTATTTACGGACAGTCAGCAATACATCTGTACTGGTTGATTTATCACGAGGTCTGAGTCAGATATTTCATCCAGTAATTGCAGACTTCTTCCTGAGAGAATTAAAAATTTGTAAAATAACAGCGCCCTAGCTCCAAGATCATTTAGTCGCAAAGAATCGGGTGGAAGATGAGAACAAATTTGAAAAGTAGTAGAAGGAGCTGATAAAGCAATATAGCAGTATTAAGATAGTTGGCTTTCTTCCTTTAGATTACGTTGCCCAGGCGGCTGTGGGAAGGTCCAAATCATATAAATACAACCGGAAATTCCCCTTCAATTTGAGCATTCCACCGAGCCAGAGTGGAATGCCTAGGGAGCCCGAGCCGCAGCGTCCAAACTCAGAGAAGCATCCGTCGGCGGATCCTAAAAGAAGACAGGTGAGGATGGCGCACTTCCCTACTCCTATTCCCCAGGAAGTCCACGAAACACGCACGGAAGATGAGTACGCGTCAGGGCGGGCCAATGGTTCCACCCCTACAGACAATGAGGGACGATAGGCGCCGCCTGGATGCACAAACAGCCATATCCCGCGCCCGGCTTGACGAAGCCCCAAAACCTACCTCATCCGAGTATTTACGGAAGGATCCAGCGCCAGTGAACCTACTCGTTTCTTCTCTCCTCCTACAGGAGAGGAATTAAGAGGAACCAAATTCAAAAACCTTGCGCCAGTCTTTTTTTAACTGAACAAAATATGCTGTACATATCGGTGTACCGATGAACATGCGCTAATTTCTGAAAAGCATGAAATCACACGTTTGTAAATTTATTTACTTTTATGGCCTTTACGAAACCTTCTACTTCGGGCAGGCAATAATTATACGAAATCCCAACACAGACGGCATGTCAGGGAAAAGTGTTTGAGTCACTGACGTTAATCAATGCGGTATCTTTCACAGTAAAAGTGTGTTCTAAGATCGGTTTGAGATTTTGAGAAAGCCTTCATCGCCGAAGGCTTAAAATGACCAGAATAAGCGAGTCAAAACCAAGAAGTCTACTTTAGCTCAACGAATATTTGATCCTAAGAAGAGGAACCGTCCACGAAGTGCTCTTATTTCAGACGAATATGGACGAGGAGCTGAATATATATAACCAACGTTCGCGATTAGTATCTTAACAAACATTTATCGATTTTTTGATTTTAATGTTACTTGAGCTCAAGTTGATTCGTGCCAGACCTTTGCACTAAACAAGCTCGACTTGTTCTGATCAAAAATGTTTCATTATTCACGATTCCTGATAATTTTCTCAATGCAGTTCCTCTTTTGATATGTATGAGTTTTTCAGAGTTTCCATCAGGATCTGCTACAAAGGCCAGACTCGTTTTTTAACGATGTATCTGCCACGGAATGACATAATCTCGGTAGGTTCGAACCCTCGGTGCGCGTTTTTCTAAAGACGTCGGTGCAGTTTCCAGTAGATGAACCTTAGATAAGACATTTTAAACTAGTAATTTCGCAAGGTATTAAGAGAAGAACTGAATTACATGCTCGTAACATAATTTTTTTCAAGTCAACCTAAAAATCATGATGAATGTTTGAGCCGAAGAAAATAAATTTCTGCTGAATAACTATGCAATGGCCATTTTACAAAAAAATGGGACTCTTCGCTATATAATGTTTATTAGAATGTCGGTGCTAAGCCATAAAAAGTCGTCTATTGGACACTAGACTCAGTAACCGTACATTGTACTTTATTCAAGGTACTGCCCATAGGCAGCACAAACTTTTCCCATCTTTCGGATAACAGATTATTTCCGCAGTAGAAAAACTGCTGATCTTTTGGAACAATCAATTGATCGAGCTAATTTTGGCTTCTTCACACGAACTGAAGCGTTGCTCAGCTAGGCCATGCTGCATCGATCAGAGCAAATAATAATTTGAGGAGCAATGTCTGCTGAATATGGCCGCCGAGAGAGGACTTCCGAGCGAAGTGTCTCCAAAGTTTTATTTACTTGTTGTGCAGCATGGGACTCAGATTTGCCATGATGCGAAATCACCTTGTCATATCTCCCATCATGTTATGGCCCTTTTATGTTTAGTGCTCGACACAAATTGATAAATTATTGTTGATATATCCCAGCAGTAGCGGTTTCAGATGTCTTCAGCAACCCATACTACATCAATCCTTATTGGTTCTAAAAAATGTACGGTAGGTCCTTGCTTCCATTAATATTCCGCCTTGGCTTTGGTGTTGATGGCTGATCAGCTGTCGTCTACGGCTGTTTGCATCTAAGATCCTCATAACTGACCCGGCTTTCGTCGCCAGTGACGATTCGATGCAAAAATGAGTGTCTTGACAACAGCACTTCACTCGCGGTTTTACGCTTTTTTGTAACGTTTCAGCCAATGCCTGCGGTATCCAAATTCCTTCTTTTTGTAACATTCTCATTGCATTTAAACATTTCCCAACAGCGAATCTGTCAACTCTTAATACATCTGACGTATCAGCATACTTCCCCCTGACCCAGTTGTGTAAAACTCTATGACCTCGGTGGGATTTCAAACCACGACAGCAAAGGAAAGGCTTGCGTACGATCAAAACAGCCATTAATTTTATTATACGCTTAGCATTGATTGTTGTCTATAAACGTTTCCTTAACGTTCTTTAGCCTCTTTTTTATAATCACCATTTTTAAAGCGCTCAAGCTGTTTCCTACACGTTCTACCATAGGCAGCATAATCACCATAAGCTTCCTCAAGCAAACGATGACTTGCAGCAGCACTTTTCCAAAACCAAAACAAAAAAGCAGTGCTTCCCGCAAATGTTTCTTTTTTCGTACAGGCTTTTCTATCTTCCAAACAATAAAAAAACATTAATGCTAGCGTTTCAAACAAATGTCATAGACTAACTATGACAATCTTGTCCGAATATTTCATGATTTATGTGTTGCCATTTTTAGTGACCTGTTGAAGCATTTAAACCAAATGGCGCAAATTAAATCCCCGAGCTAATATCGATGCTACAAATATTATGGGAGCTACTGGGCTGACCTCGGTCTGGTGGGAAGTTGCCTGTTTGTAAACTCTGCTAACTATTCGGATTTTGATTGTTGAGGCAAGAATGCTGATCCGTCAGTGCATATTCCGGCTAGCGGTCCTTGCGCGATAGTTTCTATTCCCCATAGCTACTGACAGGAGAGTCCGCCTGTGACTTAATGACAGACCATTGGACTTAACGTTCAATGACCAGATAGCCCGGGTTTGAACTGTAGACTGGGTTGGAATATGGTCGGCTGAAGACGACTAATAAGTGAGAAGCGGTCGCAGTCCTAGTCGTCCCTGTCACTGCAGGTACCCCGTCTGCAGCGTTTATGACCCTTACGCGGCTGCCTGTGCGGGCGTTAGATCGAACCCCAAGGCACAACGCGACGAGCACGGCCCGTAAACAGATCGGTAAGCGCTCCATCCACCATAGACAATATCTCAAGCCGGCGAGGCAAAGAGGCCAGAGCTCAACGGCAGAACGCTCGACCACTTAACATTCAATAATCAGACAACTTGAGTGTGTAACTTAAGTTGAGCCGCAAAGCTGCGGCAGGACGTGGCCGGCTAACGACGGCAAATAAGTCGGAAATGGCCAATCCGAAATTTCTTGTCGTTGTCGGTAATCCATTGCCTGCATACATGTAAAACTATGGTTCTCGAGATCGCCTTTTCTTTTCATATAAGTATGTATATGTTGGAATGCCGACAAAGACAAGGGAAACTGGAATAGCCATTTCTGGCCTATTAGTCGTCATCAGCCAGCCATACCCAATCCGAACGTAGACCACCTGGAATTCGAACCCGGGATCTATGGTCATCGAGTTGAACGCTCAACCATCATATGCATTTTTTACTAGTCCCTTTGCGACTGCCTGCGAATGTTGGAGGTTGAGCCCCAAGGCCCAACGGGACGAGCATGTTCCGTAATTTGGTGAATGAACGCCACTTTATCACATATATATGCAGAATGTTATTACCGACAAAGACACGGGAGACTGGAGTGGCCATTTCTGACTTAGTAACCGTCGTCAGCTAGCCATACCCAACCCCGAAGTGTGGAACACCTGGGGCTGGAACTCGCGAGCTGTTAGTTTGTTTGTATGCATGTTCTGAAAGATGGACATCCCAAGAAAGTAAAGTAGGAAAGGATGGAATCATTTGGAATAAACATATCTTTGTGCAAATTTTCCAGGCTGGCACCCCAGCTTGTCGTCACATTATGGGTAGTGGGCAAAAACAAGTAACTATTTGGCCTTGTCTAACAAAGAATTCTACAGTTGATGAACATCTGAGCAAATACGCGTCAGTTGCACCTTGTCAACTATCCGGGATTGGCTATGCCTGTTTTAATGTGTACTTAAGGACTTTGTGCGCTGCAACTATATTGATATGTCGATTGATATACGTCTCATCTGGCTACATTGCCTCTGGGGATTCACGACCTTTCCTTACTGGGAAGGCGCCAACAGTGAATGTCCTCCCACGCATATTTGCGCACAGTATATGCATGATCACCTGGGAAAGATGACCTTGTCTCCTCACCACTAACTTTTGTTCGCGTATAGGGGTTGAGACAGATTTCCCAGTTTGCCTACAATAGACGACATTACAAATGGCACATGGGATTTTGCAGACACCTTTTCTATTGAGGTAACTAACCCTGACCTTGGGGTGTACAAGCTGTGTGCAAGGTCTTGCCGGCTGGTGTACCACTTGTATCTGATGACTTTCCAGCTTTACTTCAACGAGTTCGGCTAAATTTTTCATGCATAGGAGTGTTCGCCAGGGCGGCCGTGGCGTTGCAAATGCCTTTTCCTTTGAATACTTGGCAATTAATGCATTGACGAACAAAATCATGCGGGTGCTATCCTGGAAAACTAGCTTGAAGAGGTATCTCATTTCCGTTCGATAACTTGCTTCGACGGAGAAGTGCGCTTTGACTTAACCCCGAAGGCTGCAGACAGAACTGCGCTTGTGAGACACAGGGTGGTTACTTTCGGAATGAGCGATATAGCGTGAATATGCCTTTGCGATAAACTGATGTGTTGAGTGATCCATCCGTTTTTTTTGACTTACAAGAACATCCAGGAATGGAAGTTGTTCATCAATCTCCGTTAAGAAAGTGAAACTGCTTCCGGGAAATAAAGAACTAGGATTCGTATGACGATGACTAACGTGTCACCTACATAGCATAGTCCGAGATTTGGGCTAACATCGGGGAGAGTCGGGACGAGGAGCGAGATTACATCAAATGATACTTTTCGCTCGTCAGTTGCAACTCAGACTTCTATTAATCCTTTTAATTCGCCTCGAGATTCTTCTGAATCTTCAACGGCATTCTCGGAGTTCTTTGTAAGTGGATGCAGTTAGTGAAATAGCCACTTTGAAATCGTATATCTGAGTGCAACGCTTAGGGAAACTATCGCGCGTATAATTAATGTGCAATAATGTTGCTATTCAAACGAGCTTCTTTGCACAGATAACCGTCGAGGAAAAGTTTACTTAGATATGTCAGAGTGAGATCTGTCACAAGATTTAAATTATTCTACCAAACTGGATCTAGTGAAGTCCAAAACCTGTTCGAAAAGTTCGAGACAAATAATCATTACCAACTTCGGAAATCCCAGGTTCATGAGGAGTTGCGCAAGCAATTTTACCGAGACCGCCACCCCTTACACTTAGTTGAATTTCTAGACAAGACAACCGTACCTGTCTCACTAGATGAACGATAAAACAAGGAAATTATTTTAGAGGGAAAAACAAATGACCACTTACCATAAAACTCATGAAAACAGAAGTGATGTCGAAGGTCCTCAAGAATCCTTACTGCAGCGAAATAAAATGTGCTTCTTAACGGAATGAAATGTAGTCATCCTGAGTCAAAATGCCCAAACTTTCTATCAAGCTTGGATTCCCTCGTAGCATCAGCAAACCTCATGAAAAACGAATGTTTTACAATCTGACAGAGTACTATGCAGGTCTTAAAAGATCAGAATCTATCACATCAAGAAGGACAGAAAGGCATTAAAGATCTCAAAGCGTAGAGAAATGTTATCATTTTCCCACGGACTATAGAAATGCGCAGATGTCATCGACTGGCAAATTGTTCAAACGTCTTACAAAAATGCAACTTTCTTCGGGAGATATTGTCGAATAACTAAAACAACCTGGACCGTCTCCTGCTAAGATCTGCGAGCTCCTTAAAGTCAGCCTCTTGTCTCTCGGTTCACGTACATGGCCCTAGAATTGATGGGGAAAATGTACAGAAGAAGTTCTCCAATTCTGCCACAAGGATGTGCCTACAGCTGCTTTATCTGAACTCCTAAACCGTTGTCTAGGAAACAACTTTTCACTCTCCTAGGAATACCACTAAGAGGGGGAACCCCTGTTGAGTCGCCTATTTCTGGCTTTCTTGCCTAAGTAACAATGCAGAAATTAGGAGCTACGCCTGTTCTCTTAAGTAAATCCTAAATTGCGGCTGCAATATGTAGATGACACATTTGCTGCTGATGAAAATGACCAGCTAGATACATTCAATAATAATACTAACTTAAAGTTAAAGTGGTATTCAAGGGGTTGACGGAAACTCGCATCTTTCGATATCATCTTACAGTGGAATACCGACGCAAAATTACGTTCACCAGTTCGCCGCAAAGAAACTTAGGCGGAAGACATTCTACATTAGGGGAGCAATAGAAAGTCCGACCGATTCGAACGACGTCCCCCACCACGTGACCGACGGAGTGCGTATAGGTTAAGTAGAATGTTATTAACGACAAAGACAAGGGAGCCCGAAATGGCCATTGCTGTCTTATTAGCCGTTGTCAGCCAGTCACACTCAACCCCGAGGTGTGGAACACCTGGGGCTCGAACTCGCGACCTGTTAGAAGTCCGACGCCTCTAACCACCGAACTACGGGCTCGTTGTCCTGTCGGTTTCGATCGGGAATATACAATGGTAGAGGGACGTTCACCGATCGTTCTTACGGAACTCACCCGTACCGTTGTGCCTTAGGGGTTCTCTCTCGAGCCCAACCACCAGCCGCACAGCGGCACATGATATAGGCAGTATGCTATTACCGACAAAGTCAAGGGAGGCTGGAATGGCCATTTCTGGCTTATTAGCCGTCGTCAGTCAGTCATACCCAACGCCAAGGTGTGGAACGCCTGGGGGTCGAACTCGCGACCTGTTAGTTAGCATTCCACGCCTCTAACCATTGGGCCACGGGCTCGTTGCCCTGTCGGGTAAGTGTAGATTCTTCTCGCCAGATAGCAGGTGTCCGACTTCCCAGTCTTACTCATTAAACGCGAGGTTACGGCATACGAGAACAAGGGCTTGAAGGGTGCCGGAATTAATGATGTCTTGCAGTCCCCTCCGCGGTGTGGAGCAAAGCAATTGGATTAGTTAGTGCTCTTAACCATGGTAAACAGTTCCTTGGCAGGGAACCATGCTTTGTCAGTGCCGTATCGTTTTCGCAGCTCGTAGACCACAAAATTCCTTGAATCGATCTCATTGGCATGCTGCGTGAGATCATTTTAGGGCTATCCAGTAAAGAGAAAGCTCACGGTGTTGTAACATTTCCTTGGCTGTTACTTGGTGCGAAGATCAGTGTCTCTGGTGAAATTACGCAGGCGCTTCTTAGTTTTGTTAGTTGAGACGTCTCCATGCAAAGGTAAATGGCTAGAAAAAATAATTTCGACGGCCCCATTAATGTCTTTAACTGACTTCAAAAAATAAACATACGTCTTTAAGGCTGTATGATGAAGCCTAACCACAGGTGGTACTAGAGCCATTCATCTACCCCGTCGCCACCGTGCGGAATAAAGCGCTCCACGACAAGAATTGCACGCTCCGGCAGATCAGACTTAACAGGCATTTAAATGCCATTTGTCTCTGCCGAAGGTCCTCTTTGAGTATTTAGGATATTCTATTCAGTCTGTTCAAACTTTATCAACAGGACCACCCTCCTTAGAATTTCGCCAGTTACCTGATGTCAGAATCTTCCTATGATTTCTCCTGTGGGGTGGATTTTCCTCATCATGAATGTTTCTTCGCCTTTATTCAGTTTATTGCAAGTAACACCACTTGTTTTACACTGTCCTTGTGGTCAGTAACGATCTAGCCATACTGGTTGCATTCAGTTTGAAGGCGTTTCTCGATGACGAAGACTACTTACGTAGACGAAAGTCCTACTAACAAAATATAAGCAGGTGGAAATAATTGATAACACATACGCCAGCCCAGTGAAAGATACGCTCCCAACACCACCGGAGGGAAGAAATTCGTCACCGTAATGGAGGGTCCAGGTGTGCAGAATGACGAGCCGCTACGATGTGAGTCTATGCGTTTATGGCGAAAACGGATAAACTTATCCCCCTGGTGAGTCACTGAAACCTGAAGATGGGCAGGACTTCGTGAATTCTGCCGGGATTGGCGACAAACTCGAGATGACTCTTCCGCTGAAGCACGCTCGGTAGTCCACCGACCTCGCTGGGTATCGCATCTTCCGCGACGCAAGTATGGATACAACGCGCCCCAACCCCACCAATATACACCACAGCTCATCAAGATCTCTCCATTGCTAAAACATCTGCAACGTCAGGATTGGCTCCAATGAAAGCATTGAGATAAACGTCCTTAACAGCTTGAGCACCTATCAAGCAGAGCCAGCAACGCCAAATGCGTAAGAAATACTGTGTACGCGGGCACGCCCACAAAAATCTGCCCGAAAGTCGCAGGCACGCTGGTAAATGTGACAAGATCGCAGTTCTCAAAAATGCGCGAAGCAAAAAAGCGCATCCACAAAGCGCAAGGCTGAACACGAGGGCGGAGAACAAATATTTATGCAGCTACCCTCAAGAGTAGAAGAAACACAAGGTCATAGTAGCACATCAACACGGGTGTGAAACGTGTTAAGAAAGATGCGCTGACCATGCAAGCTAGCGCCACAGCTTTCGGGCGCACAGGCACCATGCTCTTCAGCAGAACCCTCGTACTTTGAAGGATTGTTGCACACAAGGACAGCTTGGGAGAAAGAAATTATCTTGAATAAAAAATGAAAAGAAAGTAAGGAGGGAAAGATAGCAAGTCTTAAGTATAAATGCCACGTTCTACCTGTTCACATATTCGTTTGACTTTTTCGTTAAAAAACTCAAAGTTAAAGGGTTGGTTCTGAGAATAGAAAGGGTTTTTCAACACATAGTCAGTGTAGGCTGAATATACTAATTTCAGGGCGTCTCGTGCGGCGGCAGGTATCCGATGATCGGTGACAAGAAGGAATTTGGCCCCGGTTATGGATTCGTAACAATGCAGACGGCACTCTGAGGTCTCCAGGGTCTGAATTCCAGAGCCATGTGAGTATTGCCTGGTTTTTTCATCGCTCTTCGGCAGCGCAGTAACAGGCGTCAGGATTCGTGACATGTGGTGAATGGCCTGGAACATGCTAGCCAAGGTGATGCGATCGTTGGGGCTGAGTGGCGGGAGACCGAAATTAATTGTGATTGGAAAATTTGACGGGTTCGAGAAAAGCTAAAAAACGGGATAAAGCGGCGTGAAAACTTTGAAAAATGCAATTCAGGCATTTACAGTGGCAGATGACTTTACGGTCACCCGGGAAAGAGGGTGAAAACTGGTGTGGACCAACGGCCCCTCCCCCTTATTTACTGTTCAGAAAAAGACACGAGAAAAGTCTACTGGGTCCTCCCGGTGCGAGAATGCACGGCTCGTCATTTCCCTCGAGAGCAGTTTGCTTAATGTTTGGCCCAAGGTGCTCATCAAACATCCTGATTTATTGAGTGGACCAGGTCGACATTAGGTATCTAACCGTAAACTCTAGGACCGAGAGACCTCGTTTTCACTTTTTTGCTAAAAACAGGACGGGGGAGGATGGGCGAGCGGGCGGCCATGTATGCCGACATTTTGATTACGACAAAGTGCTTAAACGAGGCAAAGACGATGAAACATGCAGAACTTAATGAGATCATCAAGCTTCGTGACCTCCTACTCAACTGCGTACGGTCATTGCATATCAATGAGATAAACTGTTCAATAAGAGGGCGACGTAGATGAATGACTGCACACAGTTCAATAAGAGGTCATGAAATTTTAGGACGTCGTTAAAGTCTGTATGTCCCGCCCTCTTAGTCTTGTAAAATTTATAAGAAGTAAACAAATCCAAAAAATCTACCGAGTCTTTGAATGCGCAAATTCTCCAGAAAAAGGACCACTGAGCTGGTAATTTGTACAGCACAAGATATAGGGGAGGACTGGAGACTGAGGTCTGGCACAAAAAGTACCCAACAAATGGTAGCAAAGCTCGATTACGGCATCACGTTATGACAACTATTCATCAAGTCTGCTTGTCCTAGCCGTATCGCGGCCAGGTCCTTGAACTAAAACGTTAGAAACAACCCCGAACAGGCACACTGGGTGGCTGTTGGGGATCAATTTGACCTCGAAATCTCCAAGAAGCACCAGGAAATGACTGGTACAAGCGTGACGATCCATGCAACAACGTCCACGAGATCCGGCGCGTTCTGTAAGCTTGGCCCATTGATACTAGGCAAACAGTGTACTATTTGAATTACTCAATCTGATATTCAATACTAGGGTGTGCGAGCATTCTTCGGTATAAAAGGCTGACGACGCGCGACCATCGTTTTACGTGGATTTCTGTCGTTGTCTGTCTGGAGCTTTGATCTCCAACTAAGAATCTTGAGAAACCATGACTCGGAGGTCCAAAGTTGCTTCGACTTCGGTCACGGTGGCCCACGCGACTCTTCGACCAGACATGGTGATGAAATTGTTCCCTCGCAGCAGGTAGGTCACGCACTGTTCGCACAGGAACTAGTCAGTGACCGGCTAACTTGTCCAAAACTGAAGAGACATCTAGCTAGTATACCTGTCGTTTCTATTCATACATAAGCAACACACTGCAACGAAAATGACAGCACGATCATTGAGACAGTACGTCCATTAGACTGAGCTTTCAGCCTCGTTGTATTGTCAGTCTCTCATGCTGGCCCCTTGTACGAGACCGAAAGCTCGGGCTGATGCATGTACTGTCCCAGTGATCGAGCGTTCATCTTCTTTGGGACAAGAACCTGGAACTCGCATATTCGCTTCTTTCGTGAAACAACATACTCAACACTATATGAATCTGCCAAGGATCTCCCTTACCGTGCTGACTGATGTTGGGAGCTGGAATGGTTTAAGAGGCGCCCGTTTTCCAAAACTCCCATTATTGGTTGCTGTTAGGGGAATGTTAAAACTGATAGATATATCTAACCGTTTTTTGGTTGGGTTTGAAAGGTCACTAAAGATGCCAATTTAACTACTGGCATCTTTAGGCTTAGTTTCAGAAAATGGTGAAGGGGTGTCGAGTTTCACTGGATGGAACCTGTCGCTTGCCACCAACTTGTGCTTTCGGTATCGTCGTAATCAAGTGCAAACCTGGTATACAAACGATGTTCGTAATGCCACTCAGATTCACCAAATCCTTGTCAGTTTAGGATATGGCAGCTGCATTAATGATGACAGATTGACGAGGTGCCGAAAGTGACAATGGATATGGGTTCGATCATGTAGTCGTTCGTATGTGTTCGAAAGTTTGTCTCCTATCCATTCCCTAAATGACTCATGCAATATGCCTTGATATTCCAAATTAATAACAACCAGAAAAGTCAGGACAGACATCTAGTTCTAATCTGCTGACCGAATTGAAAACGAAAGCAGCAGCGCCTGGTCAATAGTAAAGTTTTCAATCACAGGCAGTTAAGAGAATTCTCGAACTCACGTCGCAGGCCCACTAGAACTGAGTCACCCTAGAGGACCTACAGTCTTTCACCCAGACAGTTCGGCCCAGAGTCCGCAGAGACTATTATTTGAGTGAACTGAATAAAGTGGTGGCAAAGTGGGCTAGTGAGTGCCACAAAAACGCCAGGGTTGTTAAAGCGACCTCCGTGGGTCCGATCTCAAATGCCGACAGTAGTAAAGTACCACCAAGTTACCAACCAAGCAAGCGGTAAACTTGCTGAACCTGAGGACGTTAATTGGAGCTTCATATCTAACAACTCAAAAGGACCGAGCGCTCTCTTAACTTTGCTGAATAAGCCATAATCCCCCTCCGCTACGCAATAGATTTTTTTTACTTAACTCCAGTATCTGTGGCGTCGTGAGACCCCTCCCCCCCCCCTCATGAAGAAATCGTAGTCACAACCTTGAGGCCGTGCAACAGAAGTCCGACCGGAGAAGACATCCTCGCTCATGTCTAGGAGCATTATGCTCAAACTTGGGTGCCTGGCTTCAGGAGGCAACTAAACAGGCATGAGAGTAGACCGTCTATAATGACCGGGGCGCGGTTATCTTTGTGCACAACTTCCGTACGGGAGAAAAGATAAAGCGCGAGAACTACCGAGGCATATATGGACATCTTTGTAATGGCTTTTGTCAGTTTTAATTGCAAACGATTTTACAGTATGCATGGCCTGACGAAACGCAACTAAAACAGGCTCTGAGCCAAAGGGCCTGCACTGTGGTGTATTGTTGAAGTCAGTCATGAGGACGAGCAACGGACTTCACTACAGCGTTCGGGTCCGTCTGTCGCAAGATCCCTACAGCAAATGATGAGACTCGAAGGTATGCGAACACATCGTCCATGTGTCAGGGACCACTATTACTCTATCACAAATCGAGTTCGATTTAGTAACAATCTCACCCAATCTTTCAAATTTTGCCCTGGCATTCGACAAGGACGCATTCTGTGGCCCATCCAAATGAACTATGTTATCGACTAGTTTTCAAAGACGGTGCTTCATGGTCTCGCTGTGGTCGAATTTGTGCCCGGATGCCAGTCAGTTGACCCTGATTGAGCTGATGTCCTTCTGCTAGCGTCAAATGATAATGTGGAAAATAGTGTATTATTAATGAGGTCACTAGATCAATCGGTTTCGGCATGAACACTGGGAAGGTTAAAATGTTTTTTGAACACATGAAGGCACTCTACAACCCTTATAGCATTTAGTCGCCCAGAGCCAGACATTTGCAAGCCCGTTTGACTTGCGGACTAGTGCAGGGCTAGTAGCCTGACTGGCTAACAATGCTCGATCTGTACGAGGAAAGGAGCTTTTCTGCTACACCCCCTCCTTGATGCTCGCCCGAGTGAATTTTGCCCGTCAAGTCTGGGGGGTCCCTTTGCGCGTACGCACGCATGCAGGGTGCACGGACGCACTTTGGCCGGAATTCTGGTCCCTGTCCGGCGACTTAAGTCGCCTCGGGCTACGACGCCCTCAACTCGCGCGGGAAGGCGCGTCGACCTACTGTTCCCGTGTGGACGGTGTCCGCTAGGATTGCTGAAAAAGTCCAGTCAGTCGCAACACTCGCCCGCGACGGGGTGACCTGGTTAGCCCTGAGCGAGTAGAATGCCATTAACGAAAATCGGTGATCATCTGCTTGAAGAAGTGAACAGATTCAAATGTCTAGGGGCAATGTTGCTGCTAAATAGACGAAGGACAACATCGTCGACCGGCTCGATGTTTACGCAAGCCCCTGAAGCGAAGCATATCAACATCTACAGCGGGACATTTGGCTCTCATAAAAAAGGACGACTGGGGTTATTTATGCTCCTGTCGCATGAGATCAGTGCCGCTGTCGATCCGATACTGCGGCCCAGATTGAGGTGCTAAAGCAGACAATTCAATATTTGGTATCCGCTACTATATATGACAGTAGACCTTCAGATTCGCTGTCAAACATAATCCCAAAGGGAGCCGTATAATCCACGCACCATGGATGCCGGCAAGGTTGAACATGACCAGTGCCGTACTGAGTGAAATTAAGTAAGTAAAATAATACATCGAACTTCGTACATTACGAGTTTTAAAAAATAGGGCAGATTGGAAGTTTATCTCCGGTAACTGCAGCTACATCTTACTAGTCTGTAGTTAGGGTTCATAGAAGGACAAAATACAAACAGAGATGCGTGGAACTAACAATTGATTTAATACAAGCCTCAAAAATCGATGAGCATACGGTGGAAGTAAACCTTTCTTGGGACAATTAAACGGGTTTATGTCTAAAAAACGTCCGGAAACACTGTTAATTTCGGAGAGTTAATAGGTTCCAACACTTACTTCGAGTATGTCACGTCCATCATCCAGGTAGGCACCTTTCGCAGGTACACCATTCACGCCGAGGACACAATAGCCCACTTTAATATCATCGGTTGCACCGAAGTCAACAACCAATTTTCCGTCGACGTTCTTGAATACCAGTGAGAGAGGAAATGATAGCGTTTTTTCCACTCTTGTTGTGGGAGTGCTTCGGTCGTAATACATTTGGAGGGAACCGGACTCGCTAATAATGTACACGGAATAGACACTCATCCTTGAAAAATATCTGTGGGTGTGTCTAGAATTTCAGTGAATTAAAACGTGTTTTGCAAATTTTCTATGTATCGGAGCGAACGTTCTGTAAACTCAAATTATGATGTCATAATCTAATCCATAAATATCCGAAAGTTTGTTTGTGCAAGTTAAATCCCTTTTCATCATTTTTTTAGACAGACGCCGCGAGCACTTAGATCGATTTTGGGCACCAGAGTGACGCTACAAATGTCGCTACTAGTGCACCGACGACGCGCAGCAGGTGGCTCGAAAAAAATAATAGAATGGGCGTTGAGCATTGTGTAAACTCCCATTGTGTTGAGTTTCCTGTTATTAAATCACCTCTCGCCAAGCTGGCAGAGGGTTTTATAACTTTACTGGATTAAAATACAAACACGAAATCAGTTCGGCATGTTTCAGACTCCTTCAGGAATTCTCGAAGATAAAGGAAACAAGGGACCTTAAAATCGATATGGGAAGTCTAATGGAACTCCCCTACCAAACACCCAACTGAGAAAGTCAGCAATTCAAGAAATTCACAAGATTAGTAATAATAATAATAATAATAATAATAATAATAATTTATTCAATGCCATTTTACAGGCATTTTCAAGGGAAGCGATTAAACAAAAATCCGACCAGCAGTGAAAAAAAACTCCCAAGGTAAGGGAATAAAAATATAGTTGATTGTGGTTTTTGTGGTTTAGAGGGTTCAGGAGAAAAAACTGCTGGTGGTAGACTTTCGACCGTCAAGAGGGGGGGGGGGGGTTGCACGGTATCGGAGATTATCGGACGCCATATTCCTTTCATGAAATTGGGGATAGTCAAAGTAGAGGCGTTGAGGAACAGCTGGTGAGACCGGCCATAGTGTTCAGAGACTATAAACGCCATCGCTACGGTACAGTCGATCAGTGGATTCAGCACCCAAAATGCGTGGGAGCTTTTCTGAATGCAAAAATCGAGTAACACTTCTCTTAAATAAGGGATAATTTTGCAGAGTCTTCACACTCATGGGTAGTTTATTCCAAATAACAATAGAATTTACAGAATAGAACCGACGATATTTAACAGTACGTACCAGTGGCAGAAATAAGACCTCACGGTGACTGTTACGTCGTGGGTGGATATGATGTCTTAAAGAGTTGATTGGGTTAAATGTGTGATTATATAAGAGTTTAAATAGCAAAAATAGTCCCTTTTGTAATTTACGGAACCATAAAGAATCAAGGCCTGTAAGCCGGCAACGTTCTTGGTAAGACAAATGTCGGTGTTCCGGGGTTAAAATTCCCTTGGTACAAACGTAAGTACGGCTTCGATAATTGCATTAGCCCCCTGAGAAAGAAGACGGTTCGACTTCGCGCCTAATCACAACCAAGAACCGGTCTCATGTGAGAGAATAGAATGACCGAAAGGGATCTGAGGAAACGAAGAAAGTCTCGGAGCATCTCCTAAATGCCAAGTAGGTCAGAGTGTCAGTAGGAGAGAGAGAGAGGGAGAGAGAGTGAGAGAGAGAAGGAGAGAGAGAGCAAAGTCTATACACAATGTAGGCAGATGCCGCAATCCCAAAGAAGGTAGTACATGACCAAAAGGCCTCAATAGACGAGGAACCCTGCGGTAGCCATTTCATGACAACTGTCTCCCAATCGAACGATTATGATAACAAAGATTGGCGCTATGAAGACTCTGCGTGCAGGAATACACTCCAGAGCCCTCTGCTTGATCATAATCAGTACATTTTCATAAAGGGCATGCTTGAGTCTGTTTCGGACACCTCAAAGAACAGAATAAACCAAGGTATGGAATAATTCCTGCGATACCTCAAATCCCCATTACAAGAGGAGGAGAATATCCCCTATTGAAAGCTTATAGGATGGGAAAAATTAAGGATTTGAAGGATGAGTCGACCCAACACAGACCACTAAAAATTGTTCTCAAAAATGAAGAACGAGGGCTGCTTCTACTGAAAAGGAGGCTAGCACCCACAGGCACCCACCCAACGTTTTTCAGCGGGATTTCTCACCGGTCGAAAGGGAGAAATAGAAGGAACTCAAAGTCGAATTCCTCAGATTTACTTCTGACGAGAAGAATCCAAGAATGCTGCATAGGAAGATCGTAATTCTTAGGAGCCAATTCCTTTGGAGACAACCAATAATACGGAGTATAATGGACGACTAGACTATAAAAAACGCTCCTATCCACCAATTCGACCAGTTAAAATGACGATCAACACAATGACGTCCAGTTCGATCAAACAGCAGTAGAGTCGAAATGGGACAATGTACTGGATAAGTCGCGTGAAATATCCTGCAACGTCGATCCAAAAATCGCTGATAATCTGTCAGAGCTAACCTCGTTTTCTTTACACAAATCCTCAGAATGTTCCAGAAACCTGATGGACTAAAAGCGTGGGAATCAAATACACAACCGGGTGTCATTTCCATTGCAGAGATTTGGTTGAAGTCTCGGATGCCGAAATCATTTTCGGTGGATACAAATTTTTTGCCCAGCGGGCCGCATAAAAAGAAGCGGGACCAGAGATCTTCGTCAAGAAAGAAATCTCTGCATTGGAAAACAAAAATGATTGTTCCCGTGACTTGAGACAATGTGGTCAAAATAAAATATGCCTGGCGCATATAATCTAAATTTTCTGACTATATCCAGGCTGCCCAACAAAATTCCAGAGATCGGCAGGGCGATGTTTGGGTTAATTAGAGAAGTGGCCCGAGATCAAGCTGGAGACTTCAATGCAGCGATGGTCGACTGGAATAATCGACTAGTAAACGGTTAGCGTAATTCCCTTGATTTCAGGCTCTTAAAACTAACAACTAATCCTTTTCTCGTACAAAATGTCATGTTCCCAACTAGGATCAGAGAGACACAAAGGGTTTATTGTCTGGCACACTTCCTCAGAAAAACCCCATTAGCGCTGACGAACTATGGTCCATAGCAGCAGTTCGTAAGACAGACCATGTCCTGATGCTTTGGGAATACCGCCTATACAGCCAACAACTGGAGACGACTTCACCTTGGGTGAATTTCTGGAAAGGAACCTTTGTCGCAATGAGAAGAGAATTACCGGTAGAAAACTGGCATAACGTTCTTACCGGACATCCAGATGTTGATTGAAACATTTCCAAAGGAGTCATATGCGATGTTATGCATTGAAACCGTCCGACTAATAGATTTCAAGAGACGTATGTCCTGTCTAGCGGACGCGAGATATAAAGAAGGAGATGGCTTGTAATTAAGGCCAAGGTGCGCAGCTCAAATTCAAGGACAAATGAAGCTTTGCATTTATTTCGATATTTCTAGGCAATTAAGTCAGTTTAAGTCAATTTATTAAAGGAATGAGGCTTTCGCCCTTGAGCTCCCTATTCATATCGATAAAGGGAAATAAAAGCATCATTTACATCAGCAAATGCGGAAAGTTAAAAAGTAAGCGGTAAGTGTGAGCCAGGCGCAAACTGCCGCCGCTAAAACAATCCTGATTATATGTACAGTAGTTTCTCAACGAATGAGCATCTAGTCTGCACTTAAAGGATTCGACACTTTCAGAAAGAACCACTGCATCAGGGAGTCCGTTCCATGCCCCAACGACCCTGTGAGAGAAGGCGTTCACTCGGACGTCCGAATGAGCCAGCTTCCTCTGAAGTTTGAAGGGATGACCACGCAGACGGTCAGTCCCGGCCAATTCGAAGAATTCATCAAAGTATAGGGCACACTCACGGCCTCTGACAATCCTGTAGGTTTGAATGAGATCGCCGCGCAGTTGCCTGTAATTTAGAGGAAACAGATTTAGTTCGGTAATATGTATATATTATTGGCAATTTTCGAGGTAGAATTGGTCACGGGATCCATCGAGTTGACACCAAAGATTTCATTCAAGCAGCCTTCCTGCATAGATTGCAGACGTGTGCGGCGAGTGTGGTTTGGGTATTTGAATTCAGCACATACGGAGTAAGTGCAACAAATTTCCCGAGTAACTCAACATTGAGCTGGACACCAAAAACTGCCACTCAGCAGTGCCTGTGCGAAATTTAACGGCATGACCAAGGTCGATAGGAAGACTGGAGAGTGTGGGAATAACTGTCTTGGGGCAAAACCAGGAGAACAGGATCGTAGCTGAATATTGGCGGTATAATACGTTGACATAGGGACTAATACCGTTCCACGATGACTAGAAACAGCTCGTTTCTTAGCAGGAACGTTCATATATTTGCCTGAATAGCTTTATACCCTCGACGTACACGGTCGTAAATTAGCTATATATCTCGAAGAAATGGCTTCTAGATTTCAATGTGGAGAAGTGTGCCGTCCTTCATCTGCGTTCAACCAACTCTCATTCAAATGAGAGTCTGAGGACTTATCACCTGAAAGATATAAGGCTCCCCGCAGAATCTTCACAGAAGGATCTCGGGGTTTGGATACAGAACAACCTGAAACCAACACTGCAGTGCCACAAGGCTGCAAAAAACGCCATGGGAGTGCTGCATGCAATAAAAAGGGCTTTCGTAAATTTTGACCAAGACCTTTTTGGGAGAGTTTACGGCACATTTGTTCGGCCCCACTTAGAATATGGCATACAAGCATGGCGGCCATGGCTGGTAAAGGACCAAGAATGCCTCGAACGGGTACAACGGCGTGCAACAAAGCTCGTAAACGGTCTAAAAAGCCATTCCTACACAGACAGACTGAATTGCCTTAATTTATTCCCTTTGTGTTACAGGCAGCAAAGAGGTGATCTTATCCTCGTCTACAAGATAATACACGGCCTTGAGTACGGACTTAAATTTGAGAACATGTTTCAGTGGCACTTTTCACCCAATCTTCGTGGTCACTCGATGAAGTTACGGACAACAATGTCCAGGCTGAATCTTCGTTCTGAATTTTTCACGCAGAGGGTAGTGGAGAAATGGAACGATCTCCCTCAGTCCGTCGTGGAGGCTACGTCCCTGCAACTCTTCATGAAACGCTTGGATGATTATTTGTGTCCCCTTTTT